CCCATCCTCTGCACCCACCAGTCCATCACATGGCCCAATCCACCATTGTCCCAACTGAGAAAATCCCTCCAAACACTCGTCTCCAGGTGCAGGGTCACTTGTCCTTGACTCTCTGAGAAAAGAATGTTGTTGTGTCTAATCTTCCACCTCTCTATGAAATCCACCCCTTCCAAATTCCCATTCACTAAATGTGTCCGCTTCAAAGCTTCTGAGTAACATATGGCTTCCAAAGCTGACACTGGGCAGTTGGATTCATTCAGTAAATCATAGTTTGGGCTCATGCAGAATTTAGCCTGTGAGGTGAACCCAAGCAAAGCAAACAGCCTACGGCCAATGGAGAGATGTGGATCGCTCTAATTGATCCACTGACAGATTATGTGACATCAAGTCACCGAGGATGTTCAGCGACCACGGATAGATTTTTCCGTGATGATCTGGCTTGAAGCAATCTTTGAGCTCTTCCCCCAGCAGGGGATCGATTCAAGAATTGATATCTCTTGCTGATTCAGATCAGCTCCCCAGTTTTCCCCGACGGGATTTTTGCTCTTACCTCTCCTAGAATCGAAGAAAGACCACAATTTATTTTTTTTTTAATCATCCTGTCTTCAAATACAGTCAACATCAGGTTGATGAGACTTGGCTTGCTGAGTTATTAATTTAATAATAGCCCAAACTGCTTGGGTGGAGGGAAAAGCTCATGATTAAAGAGGTAGCTTGGAAATTACGGGACGTGTTTGGAGCACACCCGGAGTCAACAACCACAATTGATTAATGTTTGCATGGTGTGGAACTTCTTCAACCCTTTGTTTTATGGTCTGTGGTGTCATGCGGGCCGGGGAAAAGGAGTGACTTGGGTCAAACCCCAAGGAAACACATTGCACCAATAATAAAAGAGGATATTGGTAGCTCAGGGTTGAATGGTGAGGTCCTTGGTGCTCCCTTGGTAGGTTTCTGGCAGACGTTTCATTACCATACTAGGTAATATTATCAGTGCTAGAAGGGAGTGAGGTTTGTGGAGAGGAGGAGGAGGAGGAGAAGGAGGGCTGTGGGGCCTTAGTGCTCTCTGAGCTTGGTGGGTTTCTTGCAGACGTTTCATTACCCAACTAGGTAACATGATCAGTGCTAGAAGGGAGCCTCTGTATTTTGATCCCATGACCCATGGAGAAAGCTGCAACAGTCGTCGGTATGAAAAATATCCCTAAAAAATATCCCTTTTTTCAGGACTGTTTTTAAACTTCAAACAGTCACTCAATGAAAAGTCATTAAGTCGAGGCCCATTTGTTAATGAAAAAAACCTAGTCTATTTGCTTTTTATTACAAGGGTTTTTTTTCTTCGGCTAGATAGAGCAGTCCATGAAATAAATATCTGTGAGGCAGCCAAGGGCTGAGATTTTTTTTTCTTCAAGGCCATTTCCAAAGAAGCCAGGAGAATAATCCATTCAAAATCCAGGGCTGATCGGATTGTTAATGAAGTTTTCTGCGGATTCCTAGTTGAAAAGGATCGCACCAAAAGGACACATATAATAGACTGGATGAAACTAGTATTAGTATCGAGGGAGGTACTAATACCGCTCTATGAAGCCTTAGTAAGACCACACCTAGAGTACTGCATCCAGTTTTGGCCACCACACTATAAAAAATATGTTGATGCTCTAGAAAAACTACAGAGAAGAGCAACCAGGGTGATTAAGGGACTGGAGGCTAAAACATATGAAGAACAGTTACAGGAACTGGGTTTGGTTAGTCTAATGAAGAGAAGGACCAGGGGAGACAGGAGAGCAGTCTTCCAATATTTGAGGGGCTGCCACAGAGAGGAGGAAGGGGGTCAAGCTATTTTCTAAAGCACCTGTAAGCCAGACAAGGAATAACGGATGGAAACTCAACAAGGAGAGATTCAACCTGGAAACAAGGAGAAACTTTCTGACAGTGAGAACAATCAACCCATGGAACAGAAGTTGCCTTTGGAATTTGTGGGAGCTTCATCCCTGCAGGCTTTCAAGAAGAGATTGGACTGCCATTTGTTAGAAATGGTGTAGGGTCTCCCGCTTGGGCGGGGGGGTTGGACTAGATGACCTACAAGCTCCCTTCCAACTCTGATTGTCTGTTATCTGTTATGTCCCTTTTAACATCTCAATCAGAGGGAAACACAGACCGTGGTGTTAAAAGCCATTTTCATTCCCCGAAACGCCGCACGGCTTTAATGAATTACAACGAAAGAAAGAAGGACGGAAAAACAGCCGGATGAAAGGTTTTAAAATCCCAGATTTTAATGTTTGAACTACATTTGGTCAAGCTTGTGGTCTTCATTGTAGGTCGGATTGCACAAGCGAGAGAGAGAGAGAGAGAGAGAGAAAAATCATGCAAAATCGCTGGGCAGATCATCCTTTTCGATGGAAAGGTTAGAACATATCAGGAAGCCCCTTGGGTGGAGTCGAAATGATATCATAGGAAATTTAAAAAAAATACTTCTTTTTAATGATGTCGGGGGGGGGGGAGGACAGTGAGAACATAGAACACAGAGTAAAAGAGTTGGAAGGGATCCCAGAGGTCTTCTAGTCCAGCCCCCTGCTCAAGCAGGAGACATTATATGCCATTTCAGACAAGCGATGGTCCAGTCTTTTCTTGAAGATCTCCAGTGATGGAGTGTATTCAAGTATTGGTCTAGCCAATGTTTTGTATGCCCTAGTTAGTAGTGTGATATTACCAGAGAAAAAGCTACGTAGGATTAGGTTAACGACTCTTCATGCCTTATTGTTGGTGTGCTAAAGTAGGTGGTGCTAAAAGCCCAGCCTTTATCTGCAGAGTTTCTGTGTGCCCCCTTGCAACCTAGATCCAGCCCCCTCCCCTGCCTTTCTTGATAGCTTCTCCCTCCCCCCTCAATATCTCCCTGGGATCTTGCTGCTGGAGAGGGCTGCAAGCGATAGCAGCAGGCCGCTTGCCAAACCATGTTGGCTGAAAGCAAACGCCATGGAAACTGCTGGCGTACTGCTGTTTAGTTTTACGAGCCCCTGGGGAGGGATGCATAGTTTAACGTAACACTTCAAACATCATTATTGATTGCATGCATGGACTCTGTCGAGGGCTGCCTCAGCAAACCCTGGGATGGGGGGTTGCAGAAAGTGTTTGCGTGTCTGTGTGTCTCCCTCTGTGTGTGCGCATTGTGTTCCTCACAGAGCAGGGTGCATCCTAAGCCATGGAGGGATTGCGCCAGGCCTACAAGAATAGAGAGAGAAATCACCATTTGTTTGTGATCCAGCCTTTATTCTATTTGCAAATAAATTGATGCGGTGAATATATGCAACACACTTTCCTTTGCCGATTTTTTTCCCCCACAACAACAACAATCCTGGAGGTGGGTTGGGATGATAGAGAGGAGCCGAAAGTCAGCTGGTCGGCTTTTAAGGTGGGACTAGAACTCACTGTCTCCTAGTGATTGGCCCAAAGCTATCCAGCTGGCTGTCATGGCAAAAGCAGGACTAGAACTCACCGTCTCCTAGTGATTGGCTCAAAGTCATCCAGACAACTTTCATGGCTAAGCCAGGACTAGAATTCCCAGTCTCCCAGTTTCTACCCAGGTGCCCTAATCACTCGACCAAGCCGCCTCTTCCAATTCCATTTTTTTTCAAAACAAACCACGATTTATAATAAATCCTATACTGGGTGTTAAGCCTCCAACTTTGCTCACCTAAGGATCAGGGACTATTTGGGCAAAATTGGGTTTGCCCACCCATCTTTTCACGTTTCCAAAGCACACCCATCTGCCTGCGGCCTCCAAACGCTGCCTGGGTGTTGCTGCAACAAGCACCTTCCTCGTTCTGGGTATCTTTCTATCCACACCAGGTTCCTCCCTTGGTTTCAACCGCCCAGCCAGTTTGGAGCAGAGTTTGGTTAGTCTCAGGGCTTTGCCCTCTGGCCACGCCAACCGGTCAGCCCGGCCATTGTTCTACCTTGCCGTGCCTTGTCAGGTAGAATAAATGCCAGCTTTCCTGTGGATGTTTCCACGCAGTCAATGGAGGGAGGGAGGGAGGGAAGGTAGCTTTTGCTCAGATATTCTTGCTGATGTCACTTTTCTGTTGATCACTTCCCGTTTTGTGGTTCTCAACCCTCAGCAGATTCCATCAGAGGTCACTGAGGGAGAACTTCCCTTCCCTTCTCGTTTCCCTTCCCTTCCCTGCTTCCTCCCCTCCTCCTCCTCCTCTCATTCCCTTCCCTTAATTCCTCTCTTCTCCCCTTCTCTTTCCCTCCCTCCCTCCTCTCATGACAGGCAGAACAAATATCTTTTCTTCTACAGTTTTTGCTCTGTGAACTTGAGAAAGAGAATATCCAAATGGAGATAAATAGATCAATTAGTTGGACAAAACTGCTTGGGGGGGGAGGTTGGACTAGATGACCTACAAGGTCCCTTCCGACTCTGTTAATCTGTGTTACTGAAAAACTACAAGTTGTTCACAGGGATTCTAGCTGATAGACTGAAAATCATTTTGCAAGAATTTTTTTCCTGAGGCTCCACCTGGTTTTGTTTTGTTTTTTAACCTAAAAGAAACTGAAAGGAGAAATGGTGTAGGGTCTCCTGCTTGGGCAGGGGGCTTGGACTAGATGACCTACAAGGTCCCTTCCGACTCTGTTAATCTGTAAAGAACAGAAGTTGCCTCCAGAAATTGTGGGCACTTCATCCCTGGAGGCTTCCAAGAAGAGACTGGACTGTCCTTTGTCAGAAATGGTGTAGGGTTTCATGTTTGGGGTGGGTGGGTTGGACTAGATGACCTCCAAGGTCCCTTCCAAATCTGTTATTCTGTATTCGGTGGGACAGCTTGCCTTCGGAAGTTGTGGGAGCTCCATCACCAGAAGCTTTCAAGAAGAGACTGGACTGCCATCTGTCAGAAACGGTGTAGGGTCTACTGCTTGGGTGGGTGGGTGGGGTTGGACTAGATGACCTACAAGGTCCCTTCCGACTCTGTTAATCTGTGTTATATCACTTGGCGGTCTCCCTTTTCTTGCAGGGACCATGCGCCCAGTCCGGAGGAATTTTTATGACCCTTCTTCCGCTCCCGGCAAAGGGGTGGTCTGGGAGTGGGAGAACGACAACAACTCCTGGACCCCTTACGATATGGACATCTGCATCACCATCCAGAATGCCTACGAGAAGCAGCACCCCTGGTTGGACCTCTCCTCCTTGGGGTTCTGCTACCTGATCTACTTCAACAGCATGTCGCAGGTGAACCGCCAGACCCAGAGGAAGCGCCGTCTACGGCGACGCATGGATTTAGCCTACCCGCTCATCATGGGCTCCATTCCCAAGTCTCAATCCTGGCCAGTGGGGACCAACTCTGGCCACCCTTGTTCGTGTCAGCAGTGCCTGCTGGTCAACAGCACCCGGGCAGCATCCAACGCCATCTTGGCTTCCCAACGCCGGAAAGTCTACGCGGGCAATAGCAACGGGACGCTGGCAGTCCGCCAGAGCAATACGTTCAACGGGACGGCCTTGTGGTCTTTGGGGGCTGTGCCGGCAGGAGGGGTGTCCAAGATGGAGCAGTCGCGTTCCGCCAACGGGGTGCCAGCTGCCACCGCCTTCTCCCGAAGTCAGAGCGCACCCAACAATACTCAAGTTCCGGGTCAAAATAATCTGAACCGACCTGGGACACAGCGGGCGGCCATCCTAAGTAGCAGAGCCTCCATCCCACCTGGGTAAGTGTTGGAGAGCTTGCGTTCCTCAAAGCATCAGGTGGTGGGACTTATCTCCGGGGGTTGGGGGATGAGTCTGCCTACCGAGATGAGGTGGACGAGTTGCTTTCGTGGTGTGGAGACAATAACTTGGTCCTCAACACTGATAAGACCAAGGAGCTGATAGTGGACTATAGAAGGAACAGATCAGACATCCAGCCCTTGCTTATCGATGGCGACCGAGTGGAGCAAGTGGCCAGTTTTTGAGGAGGTTCCCGAGGAGCCTGTGCCAAGTGCGCGGGAGCGCAGGATGATTCATAGAAGAGAACAGCTGGAGCAGCACAGGCGCCTCGGGAGTAAGGATGCAACGTAATGGGCCCTCCCTCCAGGGAATATAAGCCTGGTTTCAAAAGGTTTTTGCTTTTGCAGAAGGCAAAAACTTTCTAGGGACTCAGCATTGTGTGTGGCGACTCCGGCTTATCTGAAGAATTCTGTCGAGGCTTTTCTGTTTGGACTAATTGGCTGCAAGCCATCTTTTATCTACCAAGAAGTTTATTTGTAGATTAAAGCAGTGAAGGTTTGAGTTCATGCATTTGTTTGAGATTTTCTTGCTGGTAACCGGGTTGGGTCAGAACAGTCTCAGCTGGTGTGGGGAAAGCTGCGTGCCAGCATTAGGCAAAGCACGCCCACCAAGCCACGCCCACCACGCCACACCCACCGAAAACAATTTGAATCCCACCACTCTTTGGTGTGCTCTGAGCTTGGTGTTTGTTTGCAGACACTGGACTGGCCAAGTAGGTAACATCATCAGTGCCAGAAGGGAATGGGGAGGAGGAAGAGGATTATTGTGGGCTGTCTGAGCTTCGTTGTTTCCTTGCAGACATTTCCTTACCCAACTAGGTAACAACATCAGTGCTAGAAGGGAGTGGGGTTTGTGGGAAGGAGGAGGAGGACTGTAGGATCCTTGGTGGTGTCTGAGCTTGGTGGGTTTTCTTGTAGGTAAATGTTTCCAAATCCAACTTGGTGCTTTTTGAACATAATAATTTGTTTGCAGACGTTTCATTGCCCTACTAGGTAACATCAGCAGTGCTACTGAGTGTGAGATTGGCTCCTTGTTTATATACAATATCTTGTCTTGCCCGTGTTGTTGGGACTGTAATTTCCCCCCTGGTATTTGATTAGGATATTGTTTTCTTCTTGATTGTTTGTCTGGTGTTAATCCCTGCTTATCTGGGTATAGGCTGCTGGAGAGCGTGTGGTTTGGTCTTTTTGGTTCCTTCCCGCTTAGCTTTTTATTGTGAATGGTGTGTAAACTTATCTCTGTGTGTCCATTGATAGCTGATTTGCCTGAATGGCAAGCTTCCAAGAATTTCCTACAATTTTGGGATTTAGCTTGGTCTGCATATAAACTCGATCTATATAAACACCACATTAATTAATGAGGTTACCTTGTTTGGTAATAAAATGACTGAAAGCAAACAATGAAAGATGACTCTGCAATTCAACCATGCTAAGAAGTCGAAGAGGGAAAGAGGGAAAGAGCGAGAGAGAAATAGAAAAGAAAGGGTAAAGATACAAAGAACTCACTCATTAATTCTTTACAGCAGTTACAAGCACAAATTCTAACTCTCTGCGGTTAAACATAATTTCCCTTTTTCTATCATCTATCCTGTCTAATCATCAAAACAATACTTGATAACTTAGTGGGTTTTTTTTTTTCATGCTTGAAACTTTGCATGTTGTTCCAGCTTTTCCTGAGAGTTATATTTTGGCAAGTTTTTGATAATACGATACGTTTTGGCACTTCAAACGTATGCAGTTTTGACCAGGTTCTTTATGATAGTTGCTTTTGGTATTTTGAGGTTTTTTTAAAAATACATTTTTGGTAGGCGTATTTTAATGCTGCAAATGGCACCATCCAATTTGGAACAAAAATGCACATCTTGGTACATACCTGGCTGCTCATTTGTAGTTTGGGAAACTGCAAAATAATAGGCAAATTTAAGAAAAAAAAACAACAAGCATTCTAGCCTGGGGCTGGAATGAATGCAGCTCTTAGTTATTTGTATTTTGTATATATTTTCTGTGCCATTTGTCCATCTTCTGCATTACTTATTGCAGATTGCATTTTTTTAAAAATCTTGTTTTGTACTACTATACTGGAACCTCCCGGAGTCTCTCTCTGGAGTCAGATATTATCCCCAAACAAATTAATTTTGGAAATAAATAATATGATACCCAGCACTATTTCTTTTTTTTTTTCAAATTTAAATCTCTTTGGGGCTCCCCCAAATGCCA